TGTTTTGCCGTGCTAGAGGCTTACTCTAGTCACTAAATTCGGTGTTAGAGGCTTCCTCTAATCACCTTACATACTTTGTGCTGGAGGCTTCCTCCAGTCACATTACATTATGCTAGAGGCATCCTCTAGTCATCCTACACGAATGCTGGAGGCTTCCTCCAGTCATTCTTCATCGTGCTAGAGGCTTCCTCTAGTCACGATACTAGTTCATCCTACACGAATGCTGGAGGCTTCCTCCAGTCATTCTTCATCGTGCTAGAGGCTTCCTCTAGTCACGATACTAACTCACTAGCAAATTCTATGCCTAGAGTTCCTCAACCTTGAGTAGCCAATGAGGCCTACTCCTAATGTAACTTAGTGGTTACCCATTCCTACCTTAAGGCATCTCATAAGACTACTTAAGGTGCATCCTTCACAATCCAAGTCCTTAGGATTTGTTCTATCACTTTTTATACAACATTCCCAATTAGTAAATTAAATACTAATCCATAAATCTTTAAACAGCCAAGCTCCTTATCTCATAGTTATAAGGCTCATTCCTATGGATTTTCTAATCCGTATACGATTTACTCTCAATATCAAAAATATCACTTTTATCCATTCATGATTTCTATACATGAAGTAAAAGTATATTTTATCACAAAAATTCATGGTTTATACAATCATTATACCTCCACATTTATTATGCATCATCATACACAATCTCTCATAAATTTGTATGTTATGCATCTTCTATTCACAAACGATGATATTTTCATTTAGGCATTATTAAGCATTAATAATCCATGAAAATCACATTTAATTACTTTAGGTAATCTTATGAAATTAACCCAAAGATTATAAGCAATATAGTCAGCCATCCTCACCTTGTGATGTGCTACAATAGTTGCCTTTGTTAAGCCCCTCGATCAATCCCCGTTCCAAACCGATCGAAAGTGAAATTCTGGGCAGAAGGTGAAAGCCGGGCGGCTTTCACGAAAGCTGGGCGGCTTTCGTGGTCTGCAACTACGAACAGCCTCCTACACTTGGCGGTTTCCGGCGGTTTCAACTCCTATCGATTCCACGACTCTTCTAAGTTAAATACCACCACTTTATAACAATATTACACACTTTTAAACGTGTAGAACTCATGGTTTAATCCACCATATGATTCCTTGAAAATCATACAAGATTAATACTAGTTAAAGAATAAAGGTGTGTTCTTACCTATTCTTCTTGCCTTTCTCCTTTGGTTTTCCCTTTCTATGGCTTCCTTCAAGCTTGAGGATTGTGAGGGTCAACTCTAGAGCTCTCTCCCTCTCTTGTGGTTGGCTTGTGCGGATGAGGCAAGAGGTAGGGGAGTAGTATCTCTATCCAATCACTCCCAAGAATAGTCCAAGACTATAACATGGGGTGTGTAGTTTTTTTCTCTAGGAGACTTCCTCCATCATCCATCCGCATCAACCCTCATGTGTTGTCTAAATTTGACTTATTTAGACTCTCCAAAGTGTGTAGGAAATTCCCAAATGGGTGTAGGAAGTTTCCCCCAATTATTCCTGCTATTTTCGGTAGGTTGGGCCAAAATAGCACTCGGGTTGTCCAAATATTTTTATCAACTTTGGTTGGCATTTTATTGTGCTTCTATAATTATTACATTGACCCAAATAAATATTTGGTAGCCCATTCTCAATAATATGGACCCGATAAATAATTTAATTAATCGCACATTACTTAAATATACCAATTCTGTTACATGATTTTATTCGCTAGGAAATTCAAATACATATCAACTTTCGAATTCAAATACATATGGGCGCGGTGTCACAACCATAGCTCATGCGGTTGTGTCGTTCGTTAATGCTCATGATCATTCGGTCTAAAAATAGCATTACCAAGTCTATGTAGCAATTTTCTCTCCACACTAGTCATATTATGTCTCTCATAGACCTGACATACCTCTTTTGCAAAGGGAAGGCAAGGCAAGGCCGGCCTAGCGGTAAGAATGTCATAATCTCAGTTCTTGCTCTTCTATATAACATATAGTTCTACTCGCTTAAATGTATAGAAAATGATATAAAGTTTTGGTTATTAGCCTAGAATAAATTTGGAATTTATAGGAGTAAGAATCGCCAGAAAACACCCACATAGGGACTGTTTTCATTCCAGTAGCAAAAAGGACATCCAACACTTGGAAGAAACCATCCAACTTCAACTTACTGTCCAAGAACAACTTCTTGAATCGTCTTCAACCATAAGTTTTTGACCACAGGGCTTGGAGACGACAGATTGTTGAGCACTCTTTGAAGTGCGGATGACTAACTATATGCTTATAATTAGTGGGCTGAGTAATCAAAGCATGATTTTGATAGTTAAGAATTGTATGAAAGTGTAGTAAGATGATATGAATTTCATATGATCATAATCTGGAATGATTGGTGTTATATGAGTAAATATGAAAGTGATAATGTGTGAGGAGATGATTCATTGAAATATTTGTGAACATGATTTCAATTGAACCATTAATATTATTGTGAACTATTATATTATTTAAATAATGAATAGATAAGTTTGAATTGAGGGCGATCCATGGTACTACGGATATGCTCGGATGAAGCAGTGAAGAAACCTAAGAGGTTGAATGCCAAACGTTAAATATGAGCAGCCCCGGGGAGTCTTGGTAAGACTAGCTCAAGGATGAGAATGATATATGGACAAATGATTATACGATTATGTTTAATCTATAGTTGAACGAGAATATAGGTTCATGATGATGACCCATTTTGACTTTAGAAGGCTTGACCAAGGTGGCATGACCCATATATGTGATCACAAAGAGAGAGAGAGAGAGAGAGAGGTATATCAACTACATTAAAGGCTTTCAGGTGGCGATAACACCTGTGGACTCAATCTGGGAATCAAATAGTACCCCGAGTGGCAGTGCCATTATTCATGTACTCCGATTTGGGCACATATGGTGGACAATCGATCGGAGAAATACATATAGCTCTTGGTGGCGATGACACATATGTATCATTTGATTAGACAAGATATCATACCTTGACCGTGGAACCCAATGAGGAAATCATCAAGTGGTTTTGATGGGTCTCGAATTATAGAGATGAAACCTCGGACTATGACTAGGGACCAGTGAGCATGTAACCTATGGGTGGCATGGATGAGACTTAATTAAATTATTGGAGGTCAATGGGCCATATTCAAGGTAAATGAATTAAACAAAATACGGATCGACGTGGGTATTGATTGTTTTGACTTATGTATATATGACATGTAGATTCGAAAAGGGGTAGCTATGGGTTATTATCTAGATTATGATATCATCCTATATCAAGGGTCTTGTGTGTTGAAATGTAGATTATATACCGTATAGGCGTCATTTTACTTTTTAAAGGTTGTAAAGTATTGACCTCCCCGCGAGGGGCATCTCACGAGTTTCACGTCAAAGCTAAAGCTTACTTCTTGTACCCGTTGCTCGGGATAACTGCGGAGGGGAAATGTGGTTCGTGCTTCATCCAGTTTTATTTTGATATATGAACAAAATGATGTTTATGGAAACTATTTTAACTATAAATGATTTGGGAGCTAATGTGCTCATATTTGCCCAGTATGGCTTTGACTTTAAGGTACATTGTTTCTGCTGTGTATTTAAAATACTTTATATATGGTTGTTTATGAATGTACATTGTGTGAGTGATATTTATTTACGCCTGACATGATTCGGTTAAGGTGGACTGCAATCACCTTTAACGGGTTTTGCGGCGGATGTCGGCATGTCTGGGATGTCCATAGCGTAACAATATACTATATCAAAAACACGTGTGTACCAAAAGGGTTCTTAACCTTTTGCAGGTCCGTCATGTGTAGTACCTGATCTAATTGCTCCACACACATAGCTGGTACGAAGAGGAGCTGCCAACAATCAACTCATGAATATTATGAAGGGGATTACCTCTCCAACTCAAAAACACGTCAAATAATCAAGTGCTTATTCTGAGGGGGACTGTTATGTTTTTCACTCCTCCTCGTGCCATACAACGAATTAAGCACTTTCGGGGGGGGTTGTACTTTACCAAGGGAGAGTTTTCTACTTTACTCCCCAGGCGGCAAGCAACACAACTTGTAAATTCTGAGTAACATCTCTATTTCCTCCTGGCGCCATATGACGATCAAGACCCGACAATTCAAGGATGCACATTTTGAGGGAAAGTTTAAAAGTTCTCCTTCGAAGCGCCAAACAACGTCAAATGCATAATACCGAGTGCTCCCGTTGAGGAAGAGTAAAGAGCAATGAAAGATAAGTCTCATTGGCTCAGTAAAATCCAAATGAGCCTACTCAAAGGACAAAGCCAAAAGTGAATGAACATTTTAAGAGAGAGGAAATAGAAGACTCAAGTGAGCAAGCAAACAATAATCAATGACAAGTTTGCAACTTCAATTGCGCTATCAATTGAGGAATCAATTTTAGTCACTCAAACACTCCAGACAATCTCCATAGGTTCAAGAATGATTTAATCAGATCCAAGATAAAAATCACTGCATCTTGTCCTTAGAAATACTCCCTCCCTCCCTAAATTAAAGTCACACTCTTCTTTTTTGAATGTCCCTAAATAAAGTCAGACATTTCTTATTTGGTAAAAATATCTAGATCAAAGCAGTACAAAATAACGCAAGACAAAGTCAAACGATGTCAAAAAAGTATTCTCTATGATAAAATTTACTTCTAATAAATTTACAGAATTTGCCCTAAATAAGAGTAAAAACGTTTTGAAATTCCAAAACAGGACTATGATAATTTTTTTAGTCCCTGAATCGGAGTAATCTGCCAAATTTGTAATAAAATTCCAAACTTCTAGAAATTTACTCCTATTCAAAAAATAAAAAACATGATAATACTAGTTTGAAATATCAAAACGTTTTTACTCCCATTTAAAAATTCTCTCATAAATTTATTTCTTCAATACTCCTTATGTTATGAAGCCGGACTTTAATCAAGGAGAGTACGATTTTTCAAATCAAGCCCCACTATCAAAGTCCATCGCATAGTTCATAGCCGCCCTCCTGTGGGCTGTGGGCCTGTGGCTTCCTCTCTCTTCGTGTTCATCATGCTCCGCGCGCTTTCCTCCAATAGCTCATCATTACCGGTTCGTATAATCTTATCTGTAGGCTTCTTACAATCCACGCTCCCTTTGACTTTGAATCCGATCAACCTTATGCCAACCAGTGCCCTACTCGTGCCTCAGTTTTACTGAGCCCGGCGAGCGATTTCTCCCCAGGTTCGGCCGAGTCCATGCTTCATATGGTAAGAATGAGCCTAATCCTCATGGAGGTGGCTTCTCCCATGCTTCGCCAACCGTCACTCTATTGCAGGAATCGTAGTCGAAACAACCACCGGAGTCACTGCTTCCTGAAGAGATCATTCTCAATTTCCGCTTCAGCTATTGATTCCTGCTCTGTCCTGAAGAAGACAAAAGGAGAAGAAGTGCGTGTTCGTTTTGCGCCATCTCCGACCGGAAACCTCCATGTTGGAGGAGCAAGAACAGCCCTTTTCAATTACCTATTTGCCAGGTGAATAAGCGAACACCATATATTCGTATGGGTTATTCAGTGTAAATTGTAATTGAGGAATTGTGACAGGTCCAAGGGTGGAAAGTTTATACTCCGAATCGAAGATACTGACTTGGAAAGATCAACTAAGGAATCTGAGGAAGCCGTGCTTTCTGATCTTTCTTGGCTTGGTCTTAACTGGGACGAAGGTTTGGTCTCTAATCTTAGGTCAAACTCAGCTGCTCTTATTGGTGTGCAAGTTCCAGCTAGTTTTAATGGCAAAATTGAAGCTTTTCTCTTCTTGAAAAACCATTGGGGGTTGTCTACACATTTTACCATCAGCATAGCTGGATAGGCTAAAAACAGAAGAAATGATAGTAAAAAATACGGAGTATTAATAATAATAATAATACTCCGTAGTACGTAATTATTATTGAACTTGTTTACTTTCTTTTGATTTTTTGTGACCCTTATCTCTATTCATAAACTATTATTTGTAATTCTTGCTTTCTGTGTCAGAGATTTGCAATCTATTATAAAGTTTTCCTTTGTGTGGCAATTATATGGTGAATAAGTGAATTGATGCCAGGTCCTGGCATTGGTGGAAACTATGGACCATACAGGCAGTCTGAGAGGAATGCACTTTACAAGGAGTATGCTGAAAAGCTTTTACAATCTGGCCATGTTTATCGTTGTTTCTGCTCTAATGAGGTGATTACGCGTAGGCATATGGATTCATCACTATCAACTTGTTTTTCTCATTTTGACATTTTTTAGATTTTATTATCGCTCTTTGTTTTTGTCTACCACCATATTTAGATATATGCTTAAATGTAATAGGAACTGGACAAAATGAAAGGGATTGCAAAATTGAAGCAGCTACCTCCGGTATATACAGGAAAGTGGGCAAGAGCCACAGAGGAGCAAGTGCAAGAGGAGATGGAAAAGGGGACCCCTTATACATATAGGTTTCGAGTACCTAGTGAAGGGAGGCTGAAAATTGATGACCTCATCCGCGGTGAGGTTTGTGATTTTCTAAAACTGCTGTTACACCGTTGTTCCATCAATATCCTTTATATGACCTTTTTCAGCCCATAATAATATACCAAAATGAAGTGGGTTTTAAAGCAGATGTTACTGATTAAATGAGATTTTACACAAAAGAGATTTTTTTATATATTGTTTTTGAACAGAATGGGGATATATCGGTTTTTTTTAGGAAAAACCTAAAATACAATACCATACAAGCATGGTTTAAAAAGGCGCTTACAGGGTGGGTTTTGAGGTGCGCCTCAAGTTGAGGCGTATAGAGAAGGTATCAGGGCTTAGGTTTTTTTCACATGTCAAGAGGCTTACGCCTCAAAACTAGTCAAAAGTTGAGGCGTACGCCTTGAGCCGCGCCTTAAGGCGTTTTTTGAGGCGTGGGTTTCTTAGTTTCTATACTTTTAATAGGCTGTGACTTAAGAAATCCCTGGATTGATTTAAGTAGTATTTAATAAAAGGCCCATACATGAAACATGTACCCATAGTCCGTCCAAACTAAACCCCTAACAAGTCTTTTTTCATTTAAATTATGCAGTAATTGTTAAAATGTTTGCATATTTCTGCACACAGAAGTTTTCATACTCCTTCACGAAGTAGACAACTTACAAACAGTCCATTCTCCAGCTCCTCCTCTTTTTCTACATTTCTTCCCCTTCTTCATCTCCTCTACTTCTCTTATTCTTCTCCTTTTCTCCTCTTTCTTCTTGTACTAAGCTGTTGGTCGTCTTTTCCTAGAACTGGTCAAGGTTTTACAAGATGAAAGATGGAATCCATAAATTAAGATCCCTAACCAATGATGAGGAAAATATTTTGGTTGATTATTTGCCATCTGATGATGAATGGCTTGTGTTTATACTTGTGTTTGTGTTTGATACTTTTTGGACTTATAATTATCCATTTCTTTAGTTGTTTATTATTAGTTTAACTATTATATGTTTAATCTATTGGTATATTTTGAGGCTTACGCCTCAATACGCCTTGAGGCTTACGCCTCGCCTCTCCGGAACAAACCGCCTCGATACCCGAACCCGCCTTTTTAAACCTTGCATACAAGTATTCGTCAAATACTTATATATTTATTTTTATATTTATTTTTAATAATATTAAACAAAAATACCAGTCTTGGGAATGGCAGTTTGGTTTTGTTTCCAGGAGAGCTGTTACGTTCTTGAAGTATTATTTTCATATATAGGGCAACGTGTACTAATGTACTATGAATAGTGAGTATATGAGCTTCCATCTTTTTAAAAGAAGAATGTATGAATTGTAGGGGATGGAAGAGGGGTGTAATGCAAGAAAATAAAAGAGGCCCATGGCCGGACATTATAATTTTGTTTGTGGCATCATGAAGGTTAGTTGGAATCTGGACACTCTTGGGGATTTTGTTATCATGAGAAGTAATGGACAACCCGTTTACAATTTCTGTGTCACTGTTGATGATGCTACCATGGCTATTTCACACGTCATAAGGTAAATGAGTCACTGTGTTTTAGTAGTAAATAAAAATCTCAGCGCACATTACTGAACTGGTCTTCACAAGTCTTGATGTTTCAGAGCAGAAGAACATTTACCCAACACCCTGAGACAAGCTTTAATATATAAGGTACTTCATCTTCTATTGTTCTACATGCTGCTCTTAATATTTTCCATTTTTTCTTCTTACATTCAGGTGAGGTTAAATATAACTTCAATGTGACCATGTTTCAGTCCCTTGGATTTCCAATGCCTTCCTTTGCCCACGTTTCTTTGATTCTTGCCCCTGATAGAAGCAAACTCTCAAAGCGACATGGTGCAACTTCAGTGGGCCAGGTAACTGATTTATACACCAATTCAGTTTGTTTTTCATATGTGTTTGGAGTTCAGTTTTCAATTTTATACTTTTTGAGATGTAACTTTTATTTTGGACCATTGAGTTTAACCATAGAAAAATTTCGCATTCTTTTGTCTCCAATTAAGATGAATAGTATTACTAATTTACCAGTCTTTCTTTTCTATTTACCAGTTCAAGGAGATGGGTTATTTGCCTCAGGCTATGGTGAATTACCTTGCATTGTTGGGATGGGGTGATGGCACTGAAAATGAATTTTTTACCCTTGAGAAACTGGGTGAGTTGCCTTAATTTAGTGTTGCTCATTCATCTTTCATCTTTTGGGGGTGAAGCGGAATGTAATTTATTTAATGTTATGTTCTACACAAGGGTTAAGTTTCCTGAAACACTCATGTTGCTTTTTCAGTTGAAAAATTCACAATTGACCGTGTAAATAAAGGTGGTGCAATTTTTGACTCCACAAAGTTAAGGTAATGTATTTTCTTCAATGCTATGTCTGCCTTCTAGTTCTAGATGTTTACAGTTTAGATCTGTTTCTCTCTCTCTCTCTCTCAACTTGGTTTTTATTTTCTGAAATTTATTTACTAGCAATACATTGTATTCTTTTGCGATTTTTTACACTTCATGTAAATGTAAAAACATAGGTGGATGAATGGTCAACATTTGAGATCTCTACCATCAGAAGAGTTAATAAACATCATTGGTAGCCGCTGGAAGGATACTGGCATTCTTACAGAATCAGGGGGGACTTTTGTACAAGTATGGTCTGCTCTTTAAATTAGATACACTTATGCATTTTGGTTTACAGAAATTAGGGAAAAAATGTTTTAAAGGAAAAAGCCTTTTCCATAGTATTTAGTTAGTATTGCTAGAAAATGTTTTGGACTGTTTATAATAGGAGGTTTATCAGTGTAGGACATGAAAGTCAACAATCAATTTAAGACTTGAAAGAAGAAATGTATCAATTTGGTACTTAAAAGTGTAGAGGTATAGAATCTATCAGTTAAGACTCTAAACGACAACACTGTTATGAAATCCCCAACAGAATCTAATCTGATTAATGTTAATAAGTTAAGATAGTTGATTTATCTTTCGGGGCCTAGATGGATACAATCCACTAAAAAGGGTTATAGGGTAAACTAAGTAAACTTTTATTTATAAAAGGCATTGTATCTTACTTTTTCATATAAACAGGAGGCTCTCCTGCTTTTGAAGGATGGAATCGACTTGATAAATGATTCAGAAAAAGTTCTTTCAAACTTGCTATGTTATCCTTTTTATGAAACCTTGACAAGGTAACCCTTTGATTTCTGTTGCAAAATTGTCAGAGAATGCTATCTGAATTATCATGAATATAATGACTGCATAAATTTAGTCTTAAACAAATTAGTAAAGAAATGGAACATTATATACCAAGTTATGTTTTCCCACTGTCTACTCTGGTAAGAGCTTACTTGAGTATAAAGCTTATTTAATGCTCAAAATAAGCCATTGTGTTTGTTTGGTAAATAAAATGATAACTTAAAATAAGCTCTTATTTGGATAGCTATATCATACTCCAAATAACATATGTGAAAGAAGCTATTAGACCAAATGGAGTGGTGAGGTATTAGGAGTCCAAAATGTTAAAATGGCATTTTTGGACTCCTAATTTCATACATTGGTTGAGTATAGAGGGTATTAAAAATGGGTTTGGGGAGGGAAGGGGTTAAATATGGAGGAGTTTTGGACAGCCAAAAAAAAAGGAAAAGAAAAGAAAAAGGGAGTGGGGGGCATACCTGCTATGCGCAGGCGGGGAGCAGAGGCCTAGAGCCGAATTATTTTCCCTCGCTGACGTCACGGTGACGTCAGCATGATGTCAGCATGCACTAGCAATGGCTGGTTTTTTAAAAAAAACTTTTGAAAGATCCAACGGTTGTGATGATCTTGGCACTGTTTGAATGGGAAAAAAAATTAATGAAATTTATTTTTTTTTACATCGAAATGTGTCTTTTTTATTTTATAATTAATCAGAGAAAAAATTAAAAGGAAAACATTACTTATAATAATTTAATTAATGTTTTACTAAATTGATATGTAAAAAAATGTGCAGAGTGTATTTTATTGACGGTGCTGGAATGCAGAGAATGGGAGTCAAAACACCGTTTTCATATCGACGGAGTCCATTTTTGACATTTGGACTCTTGCACCACTCCAAATGGTCTTAGTAGTACTCATATTTTTTCCAACATGAAAACAGTCAAATAGGTCATCGTACTATATCCAAGAAGTCAATGGAGTCCTCATACTATCAAATCAATCAATCAAATCCCCAATCTATAAAAAACGCTGAATTTTACTTTTTAGCCTGGTGGTTACAGGTATTGCCGGTAACTGCTGATCTAGACACCTATGTGGCATTAATTTTTTCTGTTCAACTTTCCTTCCTTCCTTGCAACTTTTTTTCTTTTTCTCCTTCCTTCTGCCCTCTGATTCTCCGCTCTTCCTTCCTTCTCGTTCGCTTTCTTGTTTCTCTGATTCAGTCCTCCTTGGCTCCCTATTCTCTAGCAAGTTCGCTGCTCATCTTCACCAACCGCCGGCCACCCCGAACTGACTGTTTTTTTTCCTCTTTTCATTCCTCCCCCCTATCCCCTGTTTCTTTTCTTTTGGTTAACTTTCTCTTCTCTTTTGTTTCTATCTTCTTCTTAGGGATCTAGGACCTTTTCCTCTCTTCTTCTCTTTGAGATCCGAAGTACGCAATTGCCGTGAATAGCGATGAGGGAATGAGCAACGTGAACCTTAACTCTATTGTTGTCTGCGTTTGTTGCCGGACTTTGCTGCCGAAGCTCGCTGTCGTCATCCAGGAACTACTGCATCTAGTCAGTGAGGGAGGGGAGAAAGAGATATATAGTAAAAAGAGAAGAAGAACAAAAAATGAAAAAATATAAAAGGAAAACAAAGAAGAAATTGGGAGAACAATTGAAGCAGTCGGAGAAAGGGAGAGAGATGAAAAAAGAAAGAAAAGGAAAAAGAAAAAAATAAATTAGCCACATGGGTGCCACATGTGCATATTAACCTGATAACCAGTAATATACCGGTTAAAATAAAAGTATGATTTGAACGTCTTTTGAAAGTTGGGTGTTTGATTGGGTGATTTCATAGTACGAGGACTCAATTGACTTTTTGGATATAATACAGGGGCCTATTTGACAGTTTTCCCTTTTTCAAACTAATGGCCCTATTTATTTAAAAAAGTAATCTTATTTTTCATTCTCTTATTATGGTAAGAATTGTTCTTTTATACGCTTCCCACATATATGTTAATTAGAAACAGTCAACTGCTACATCTACAAACCATTTTTTTACCAAATCCAGGACTACTAACTATCAGCTTTCAATATGTTTTACAGCTATCCACTTTCCATATTTGAGGTAATTATTGTTTAGGGTTTCTTTCTCCATATATTGTGTTTATGTATGAAAGAATCCCTCCTATGCAAATTATAAGTATTATTTTCCTCTTTGGTTTGTCCCACAATTATAACCACTTTCCGTTTTTTGAATGTGCTGCCTGCGAACTGCTATCATTTTGAAGTATTTGCACATCTTATTATACGATATACATACTTTTAAAGGGTTAAATTGGAAAATTGATGAAATATTATTTGTTTCCTTCAAAATGGTTCACTAAACTGTCTGCACTTCTTTGTTATGAAGCAACAGCCAGTCCATGCAATTTTGGACGCGATTTTCTCTATGGGTCATCCGGAAACAGTCTCTCTGTGCTTTAGTACAGGGGTAAGACTGCGTACATCTGACCCCCCCTTACCCCACCGTAGGTGGGAGCCTTTGCGGCACTGGGGTAAATGAAAATGAAAATGATGATTTATTTAGTGAAGAAATTTTATTAACCCACTCTCATTTGCTTTGCAGTGCTGAAGGAAAATCATTATTGGATGATGGGCTTCGTGAAGTTGCTGATAGCTTGCTAGCTGCCTATTCTAGTGGTGAGCTCTTCGCTGCACTTGAAGAAGGCCTACCCGGTTGGCAAAAGTGGGTAAAGAGCTTTGGTAAAGCACTGAAGCGGAAGGTGAGTAATAATGTTTGTAACTTGCATTTTGTGATTAACATAACATTTAGTTGACTTTCAAATCTTAGTGTCTTTCATTTCTTGTGCCAGGGAAAATCTCTGTTCATGCCTCTTAGGGTACTACTAACAGGAAAGCTTCATGGGCCTGATATGGGATCTAGTATTGTTTTGCTCTACAAAGCTGGTAATTCAGGTGCCGTTGCATCTCAAGTTGGGTTTGTATCATTGGATGAAAGACTTAAAATGATCAGAGAAGTTGATTGGGAATCCTTCAGCAAGGATCCCCCTGTCCATGAATCTGCCAGAGTTGCCATTCATTGACGTAGGCAGTGCCTGGGCTTAAAACCTTCAAGGCATACCCTAATGAACTAAAGCCACAAGCCCCCAAATCAACAGTCATTTTAATTTTTCTAGTTGTCGATGCTTTCTGTCTAAATTAGAATAGTACCTTACAATCTTTAAGAAAAGCATTCCAGTCCATGTAAGCAAAATTTTGGTTTAGGTGTGCCTTATTTAATAATCAGTCCATTGTGGGGATGTATTCAGTTTTAGATGGGTAGGAATAGAACCAGGCACCTATTTTTTTGGTTCCGGACAGGAGTTGGTATCTGGAACTGGTCCAAGGCTCCAAGCTTGTTCCGGTTCCTCAAAAGGATCTTACCGGTTGTAGACTTGTAGTTCCATTTTTTTTGGAAAATACTAAAAACCAGACTGGAGCAGGTCTTTAACTGATTAAGGATCCGATTCTCCGCTTTACCTGGAACTGGTCTGCTTCCATGCTAGTCCACAGCTTGGTCCTCTTCCCTATAAACATAGGGGTGGATTCGGTCGGGCCATCCGGCCCGGCCCGCTACTGTGCGGAACCAGGACCGACCCGGTTCTCGGGTCCGGGTTGGGCCTAGGCCCGGGAAGGGGTGTGGGTCCGGGCTCGGGTCTTACATTTGGCGAACTGTTCCGGCCGGGTCGGGGCCGGGTCCGGGCCAAATTGATTTTTTTTTCATTTTTTGGGCTTCCACCTGGGTTGGGCTTGATGCTTAGGAGGGGTTTGGGGGGTTTGGGGAGGTGGGGGGGGGGGGGGGTTAGGAAAGCAAAAAAAAACCAAACCGGAGGCCCGGCCCGGACCCGGTGGCTACCCGGGCCGGTCCCGGGTCCACATATTCTGAACCGCCGGCCCGCCCGGGCTAGGCCCGACCCGGACCCGGCCCGGCCCGAATCCACCCCTATATGGACATGAGCAAATTAAACCTTGAAGTTGTGTATTTTTCTGATTTTCAAATTATTAGTCTTCCCAGCTTGCATTTTTGTTGTTCTCCAATAGCATTGATAGCATTGGGTTCAATAATCAGTCATAACTGGTCTCGACGGTTTTCTCACATCAAAGTTTTCCATATGAAAAAAAATAAAGCATAATTTTAATATTCCAATTCATGGTCTTTTACATGGTTTTAATAAATTAAGCAGAAACTTGCACCTTTTTAGCATTCTTCCAAAGATATTAAGGCTCCTTAGGTGATTAAATAAATTGTTGGTTGTGCTTAAGGATAATTAACTGAGTTATATTATCTGTATTCTGTAATTACAAAATGTTTACCCCTGTTACGATAAATACAAAATGTATTTCTAAGTTGTAAGTTGTAACTATATATTTTCGATCAAATAAAGTCTTTCTAAATTTGGTGCATCAAACCTAAAATCCAAATGTAATAGTGGACTTTAGATGATAGAAAATGGAGACGTTCACATATGTTATAAGAATATCACTTTTTATTGGAATGACGAGCGTATATGCTAAGCATATAAACACACACATATACACACATATTCCTGTCTGGAATTTCCAGACAGAAGCCCCGTCCGGCCTCCTCCATTTGAGGGCCTTCCCGGTGATATTTTTTGCTCAAATTTTTTGTGTATGTTCCGCATCAAGTCTAGTTCATCCATACCAAATTTCAGCAAAAAATTCAATCGGGAAGGTCGTCAAATGATTTTTGCAAGTTAACTTGTCCGGAATATGTATTTTTGGGACCGCCCTCGTCCTCCAACTCTTGCTCATCATCCGGGGTGCCATCGCCCCCCCGCCTCTCGTCCTCCTCCGCATCCTCATCCTCGAGCTCATCTTTGTCAATGGTTGTCGGGAATTGTTGTTCTTGTGCAAAGCGTGGATCATTTTGGGACAATAGATTTTGTAGTTGGTCGTCGGACATTGCCATATCATCTCTCCGTTGGTAATCCGTTTCAAAATCATCTCGACTTTGAAAAAAAGACTCGGCTCGCGCTTTACCTTTGCCTTTGCGTGAGCTAGGACGAGTCGTCGCAATCTCCCTCTTCCGGTTGCGTTGGAGATTACCCATATCTACAGAATGTCTACCATGGTCCATCTTTAAAATTGAAAAAATATTAAATGATATCAAATATTTTATATGAGTACAATAGTAATAATAAAATGTGACTAAGAAAATTATAGCAAATTCGAACTAAAATATGAGTATATCAAATGTAACAATTTTTTCCCCCGAAAAAAAAAAATCGAACTACTTCTAATTAATACTTTAATGAGAAATTTACCAATTAACTAATATTAATATGAGAAATGTAACAATTAACTAGTTTTTTTCTTTAAACAGAAATGTAGAGAAGTGTTACAATTAACTAATTTTTTTCTTTAAAGAGAAATGTAGAGAAATGTTACAATTAACTAGTTTTTTTTTTACCTTAAAGATAAATGTAGAGAAATGTAATAAGTAACTAGTTTTTTTACTTTAATGAGAAATGTACCAATTAACTAATATTAATTTGAGAAATTTAACAATTAACTAGTTTTTTCACTTTAATGAGAAATGTACTAATTAACTAATATTAATATGAGAAATGTAACAATTAAATAGTTTTTTTACTTTAATGAGAAATTTACCAACTAACTAACAGGAAAATGAGAAATGTAAGAATTAACTACTTTTTATAGTTTAAAGATAAATGTAGAAAAATTAACTAATATTAATATGAGATATGTAACAAGTAACTCATTTTTTTTTCTTCTTTAAAGAGAAATGAAGAGAAATGTAACCATTAACTAATTTAATAGAAAAATGAGAAGTGTAACAATTAACTAGTTTTATAAAATGTATGTATTCGTATAAGTATATTAGTATATATAGTATATATAATGTGTAAATATATTATAAGTAATATATAATATAATGTTTATAGTATATAATATATAAGTATATTACTATAAGATGAGTAATACACTTATAATTAATACTTTAATATATATATATATATATATATATATATATATATATATATATATATAAGTATATATTAACTAAATGTAATATGTAAATATAAGTAAATAACAATAAGTATAGATAATAACTAAATATCAAGTAAATATTAAGTAGATAACAAGTATATATTAAGTAGATAATAAATAGTAGTAATATAATATATGTATTTATAAGTAGATAATTAATATATAAGTAGATATAATAATTATATAAATAATATATATGTAGAAAGAATTTGGAGAAGATGATTGAATATGAGAGAATAAAGAATTAGAGAGTAGGAAGAGTTGTAGGAGAAGAGGTGTAAAAAATGTATAGAAAATAAGAGTTTAAATAGTTTTTTTTAATCCCCCCACCCCCACCCCCCGGACCCCCCCTCCTATGCCTCCAACGGCTATAGAGTCGTTTGGGAACAGTCCCAACGGCTAGGAGGTTTAAAATATAATTTTTTTTTAAAAAAATGACCGTTATGGCCCGGACCGGTCCCGAACTGGCCGGGCCGGTTCATCTTTTCTCAGGCCCGAGCCCGGACCGCTTTATGACCGGGTTGGTTGGCCCGAACCCGTCCAGACCGGTTCCCGTGCCGGGCCGGGTACAAATAGTACCGGTCCGGGCCGGTTGGCCCGACCCGAGTCCACTCCTAGAGGTTACCGTGCTTAGTGGGAGGTCTTGAGTTCGAAACCCGCTAGGCACATAAGGGTTCGAAACTCAATGGAGTGAGGTTCAACCCTGATTATTCCAGGCCATCCAACCCCCTCTCTCAGACCCTCTTGGAGTAAAAAAATGTGTGTACAAATGCATATATGTGTATGAAGGTCCATCTCGTGATGCATTAGTGCATTACACACATAGTGAATAATCAGTTCAAGTCTTCTTGACATTATTCATATGTATCTCATTTCATTTCTAAAATATTTGAAACATTTAAGCGTCCAATATTTTCATTAGTCTACATCTTCACTAGAAAAGACATATTATGTAAGTATACCAACATCTTCATAAATATGCATAATGATTAAATTACAAATTTTGCTATTAGTGTAGAACGGACTTGCATAGTTCCTTGTTATCACAAGAGTACATCAAAGATTGCTTGAGGTCTTTCTGACATGCAATGGTAATGGATGAATTCACAAATTAATTCATTAACATATCCCGTGATGTATGATACTATGATATTGATTGATGAGACAAGATTGAGTGTTTAAGTAAAATTGGATGTATGACGAGTTGGTAAAAAACTTTGGAGAATAAGTGTTTCACGCATAGGAGAAACAAGACTAGGTATATGGAGTGCAAGTTTGATGGATGTAAAAGCAATGATGACAGTGTGATTACATTAGATGGTAAAGAGATACCGATCAATGATATTTTCAGAAAGACAGTGATCTAGATGGAGATGATTTCCATATAATCGAAACATGATATGGTGGATAAAATGGAAGACTGCGTAAGGTCTCTATGTAATCGTGAATAATTAGTGCATTACACACATAGTGAATAATCAGTTCAAGTCTTCTTGACATTATTCATATGTATCTCATTTCATTTCTAAAATATTTGAAACATTTAAGCGTCCAATATTTTCATTAGTCTACATCTTCACTAGAAAAGACATATTATGTAAGTATACCAACATCTTCATAAATATGCATAATGATTAAATTACAAATTTTGCTATTAGTGTAGAACGGACTTGCATAGTTCCTTGTTATCACAAGAGTACATCAAAGATTGCTTGAGGTCTTTCTGACATGCAATGGTAATGGATGAATTCACAAATTAATTCATTAACATATCCCGTGATGTATGATACTATGATATTGATTGATGAGACAAGATTGAGTGTTTAAGTAAAATTGGATGTATGACGAGTTGGTAAAAAACTTTGGAGAATAAGTGTTTCATGCATAGGAGAAACAAGACTAGGTATATGGAGTGCAAGTTTGATGGATGTAAAAGCAATGATGACAGTGTGATTACATTAGATGGTAAAGAGATACCGATCAATGATATTTTCAGAAAGACAGTGATCTAGATGGAGATGATTTCCATATAATCGAAACATGATATGGTGGATAAAATGGAAGACTGCGTAAGGTCTCTATGTAATCGTGGTATGCCAAGGAGAGTGCAAAGCAAGTTTTATTAGATATCAATTAGGTCTGGATGATGTAAAGTGTTGGATGGTGGAATATGTCACATTCAAAAGATGAGTGTGGTTGAGATGCACATGTTGCTCTAGATGTGAATATACAATAAAAGACCAATTGAAAAATGAAATAATCAGATAAAAGGTGGGAATCACACCTAATAAAGACAATCATTCAAACATGCACGTGCATTCATACATTCATACATGTAGTATATGATACACACACAACTTTTGGCTTAAAAAAGCTAAAAAGGAAGAAGAAGATATACGCACACATCTCACATTAAAGAGAAAAGGAGCAAATAAGGCCACGTACTAACAAAAAAAGGTCAAATAAGGCCTTATTTAGGAGGCTTTGTCCGGCCGTCGCCATTTGGGGTGGTTTTCGGGGGAATTTTTTGATGATTTTTTTTGAAAATCTTATTCATTAAGTTTAGTTTACTCATACCAAATTTGAGGTAACAATTCAATCGGGAAGGCATTCAAATGATTTCTTGAAATAACTGCGCTTTTAACTGCGTAGTTATCTTCAAGAATTCATTTGAATGGTTTCCCGATTGAAGTTTTAGATGAAATTTGGTATG